ACCATTGCGATAATGCTGGGAAACAGTAAGCAGACGATGGGTGGGCTCATAACGGCGGGCAATTTATATAGCGTACGAAGCTGGGATCTGTACACTACATGTTTTACCACCATGATTTCCACCAAAGGTTAGGCCTATCGAACGAGCCCGTACAATTGTGTTATCCGTGCTTCTGGGTTTCTGAATACACAATTTCGACGATAAAAATGAAAATACAGCGCAGTCATGGCATCAATTACCCTAAATGAAGCATTTTTCATTGTGTATGGTGTCCGCGCAAGAAGCAAGAAACATCGATGCGACGCAATTCAAGCACTCCCAGAGAACGTACGTCTCCCCTCGCCGACAGCCGCCGGTCGCAATCGCCGACACTTCTCCAACTTTTATGCGAGAACTCAGACGTGGCAATTCGTATGCTCGGGGAACCAACATGATAGCGTAATGTTTCCGGCACACTGCATTTGTTTTGGCCAAGCCGTTATGTAGCTGTTGCTATAGTGAAAGAGCTACAGCATTGAGCTGGCACGACCACCCTCTACGTTCGCGCGAAAAGCATCCCAATACTCAATCAAATAAATTAGGTTGGCGTATCTATGGAATGAGCCTAGAAGCGTCATAAAGCGTGAGCAGATGTCGCCCTTTGGAACGAGCGCAAAACGGATATTAAACTTGGCAGACACCGCCGGTAAACTGTAGCTCCTCCCCAGTACACTTTGTGTTTTTTTCTTGCAGCTGTGAATTGTAAAAAAAAATAGCACTGGCGCCATTAACACAGTGGCAATCGTTACAGGCAGCAGTTGCTTGTGTTTAATAAATGTGCAAATTTTAGTAGCAGGTGCAGATGTCGTCTATGTCGAATACACGACAAACATCTGTTGAACTGTAAGTTTGTATGTCAACTAACTATTTAACGCACAACGCACAACCAACCTCATGTTGGTATGGTGCAGTGGTTAGTGTCTCCAAATGAGAATCCGCAGGTTGCACGTTCAACCCTCCGTGGCACCTTTTCTTTACGGGACGGGTGTTTTTTTATATCGTTTCTTATACAATTCTTTTTTATTTTTGTGGCAGCTCGTCACGGTGATTTTGACGCCATTTCGCGCTCAAGCGTTGCCGGCACTGCAGCACCCACCATATCCCACCATGAGCCATGGTGGACGTTTCCCACCATTCACCCACTACATTGATCCACTATAATGGTGGGTGATGATTTACACCATGCCCACCATTCGTTTTTTTTCTGTTAGGGCAGTGAGGATCTGTGGAAGAACACTGGAGTGGCGCGCAAGAAACCCGGGTTCGAATCGCAATAGGTCCTCGATGGTCTTGTTCAATTAAAATTTTTATTACAATGCCATTGAAAAAACTTCCACCATAAAAATTGGGGATTCCACCATCCACCATGGTGGTGGATTTTGGTGGTGGAAGTGTTGGTGGCACATGGTGTTTGGTGGCGTATGGTAAAGCAGGTGGTGCATGGCACGCTCCAGCCGGCAATGTTGGAGCGCGAAGCAGCGTCAGAACCACCGTGACGAGCTGCCACTAAAGAAATAATAAAAATAATTGTATAAAAACATTGCAGAAAGCACCCGCAAAAGAAAAAGGTGCAACAGCGGGGAATCGAACCTGCCACCTACGAATCTCTAACTGAGCACACTAACCACTGCGCCACGTCACCTTTTTTTTTCTTTATTGCCTGTCTTCGGCTCACGTAAACAATACACATATTAACAGATAACTACACAACACAATCCAAAACATTGTAAAAACCTTGGCTCAAATGATGTGGCCACGCATCTGTTAAAATTTTTTTATCGTCGATAGTAATTCGACGCGCGGCAACCATTCTGGGGTGAATTCCTGCAACTTTTGTTCATCCACAAAATTTCTTATATATTCTTTGAAGTACTGGGTGGGCGCTCGTGCATCTACATCAAAGTGCATGGCTGCCATCCTGGATTTCCAAATGCTATGAAGAGCCATAAGCATTATCATATCATATGGGGTACCATCGTCACTTTGTATTTGCAAGTAGCGGATGCCATATGCATCAATGGGGAAGTCTTTTTTGATCGTGCGCTGGAGCACGTCCCAAAGAAAGATAGCATCCCAGCAGTCAGTGAATACATGCTCAATTGTCTCCTCCTTTCTGCATATTATGCAATGCGTGCCCCAAGGAACGTAAAACCCCTTTGCAGCCATCCAGGTTTTGACGGTCAGCGTACCGGTATGTAATTTAAAAAAGAAATTCTTAGCACCTGGCGATATTTTCATCGCCTTGACGCGCTTTAGTACAGTGTGGCCATGGCATACATTGTAAAGGGACCGATACAAAGGCACTGGTAAAAACACATCACATAGGTCCTTGTACAACTTTCTACGTCGGACTTGACCCAAGTATTCAAGTGAAAACCGCACTGACAGAAACCTACAAGAAAGTACAACTTCGCGGAGAAAGCCATAAACACCACCAGGTACGCTGCAGGTTGATACAACCATGTTAGCATTCCTTCGCACTGTCAAATTCGCCTGGGGCAACACTTGACTGCGCCACGTCACCGGATGGCAACGTGGGTGTAAAAAAAGTAGCCAACTCACAAAGTCACTGTATAACTTCAGTTCTGCTTGTCGCTTACTCGGGAGGGACGGGATCTGCACCTGCTACTAAAATTTGCACATTTGATAAACACGAACAACTGCTGCCTGTGATGATTGCCACTGGAATAATGGCAACATAGCTATGTTTTAGTTACAATTTACAACCACAAAGAAAAAAAAACAACTTAGTGGACTGAGGAGCAGGTGGAGTATATGGTGGTTACTGCCAAGATTAATATCCGTTTTTCGCTCCTTCTAAAGGACAATATCAGTTCAGGCTTTATGACGCTTCTATGCTCATTCGATAGATATGCCCACACAATTGATTTTGATGTTTTTTGTGCAACGCACACCGCAGTCGTGCCAGCACACAGCTGTTGCTCTGTCGCTAGGAACAACTACATAACGGCTTGTCCAAAACGAATGCAATGCGCCAGAAACATTACGCTATCATGTTGGTTCAGTAAGCACACAAATTGACGTGTCTATTTTCTCGCATAAGTGCCAGTGAAGTGCCGGTGAGTTCGACCGGCGGCTGTCGGTGAGGGGAGGCGTACATTTGGTGGAAGTGCTGCAAGCGCGTTGCATCGATGTTTGTCGCTTCTTGCGCGGACACCGTACGCAATAAAAAAGGCTTTATTTAGGCAAAATGATGCCACAGCTGTGCTGTATTGTCGTTTTTACTCGTCAAAATTGTGTCTTTAAAAACCTAGAAGCGCCAATAACACTTGTACGGGCTTGGTCGGTATGACTAACCTTTGGTGGAAATTATGGTTGTAGAAAAGCAAGGTGAAAGTCAAATTCGGTAGGGCTCATCTCGAAGCGCGTCGAAAGTGAAAGTTTATGCATATTCGCACGCACTATGTAAACCTAAAGGTACGGCTTAAACAATAAAGTGTGCAAGAATTACCAGAGTTGCGTTTTTAGCGTGGCGACATCAAGTGACCGCTGTGTTCAGCTCTAACATTGAAAGGGACAATCGCAAACTGGGGCCCAATTATTTGTCGACAACTGTGCGCCGATGTAAAACATTTATTGTCATGTTCACAGTGACACCTCTAGTCTTCTAAACATTTCAACAAAGAAACACATCGCGGATGTCAAACTGATTTAAGTAGGTGCGCGAAGTGTAAACATATTCTCGGCCGCATATTCTACGCTCCACAAAAACAAGAGCGTTGTTGACACCACAGGAATAAAAATCAAACGTGCTAGAAGGCATTATGAGCAGCGTTGGTTTCTTTTGACAGTAAACATATATCTCGCCCCGGCATGGTGGTCTAGTGGCTAAGGTACTCGGCTGCTGACCGCTCGCAGGTCGCGGGATCAAATCCCGGCTGTGGCGGCTGCATTTCCGATGGAGGCGGAAATGTTGTAGGCCCGTGTACTCAGATTTGGGTGCACGTTAAAGAACCCCAGGTGGTCAAAATTTCCGGAGCCCTCCACTACGGCGTCTCTCATAATCAAATAGTGGTTTTAGGACGTTAAACCCCACAAATCAATCATCAATCAGTAAACATATATCTCTGCGCATACAAAACTGAAACACCACAAATAAGTGATTTCACATACTGTTTTTTCATCATGCTACCATCATCCACCAACCTTTCATTATGCCACTGTCATCCACCTTGCTCACCAAGCCTTCCACCAAACACGCTTTGCCTCGCCACCATGAGCCGGCATTTTCCACCTTCACCACCATTGGCTCGCCATCACCACCATCATCTGCCACCATTTTTTTCACTCTAGCCGTCATCAGCCGGCATTTTCCACCATCACCGCCATTGGGTCGCCACCACCACCCCCACCTGCCATCATTTTTTCCACTGTCGCCACCATCAGTCATTATGCCCACTACAGTTTCCACGATATCTACAAATATTTCCACCATATCCACTATTCTTTCTACCATATCCACCAACAATTCCAGCATCCATCAACCCAGGATTTTCAATAGGGAAGCTATATTAGTTATGGACACTGGCACCGACGGAAAACTGCGACGCACGCGACCGTTGTTATGATCTCATAAAAGATTTTGTTGTACAACTTCTAACAGCCACTATTCATTCTTGGCTCCAGATATCGCCCTTTCGTAAAATGGACAACTTTGACCAGGGGAGTCCTTTTAACGTCACCAAAGTTCGACTATGACTACGGGCCAAGACACTTAAAACATTAGAAAATAAGCTTCGGATGCAGCGGGCATCCCGAAAACAGTTGTTCTACAAATATTTTGGCAATGGTAGTGCAAAATTCACCTATTATTGGAACAATGCTGGTATGTTCCGTAGAATATTTCAGATTTGCTGTCAACGTGACCTGCAATGAAAGACTGATATCCACATTTCGATGCAGTAGTCTTCTCAGCGATGGCAAAGCATTGTTTTCGATAGACGCAGCTTTATTTCACGCACCAGTTTGCTAACGACGTTTCTTTTTTTGTTGTTGAAGAACTGTCCCAGTGGTTCAGTGGATAACAATGCTTGTGCAATATTTGTGTGCACGGGTTCAAGTAGTCCAAAAGCCTGAGCCCGGCCAGGCCAGAGGGCTGAGTTCCGGTAAGCCTAGGTCTTTTTCACTCTGGCCCGGACCAGGATTAGGCCTATATATTTAGCTGACGGACCGGGCCAGCTGAAAACCCAGTATGAAGCCCAGGATAAGACGCTGTGCCAGTATCGCTGTGCAGCACATAGTGATGAGCCCGCAATCGGAGCATTGCGATTACCTATCCATGGAAGCATCCCTCTCGCCCAGCCTTTGAGATGCTACACTTCTGGATGGACAAGCAGTTCAAGTATACCCAGCTCGATATGCCTGAGAAAGACATATGGCTTTTCCAACTTCCGAGCACCAGAATATGAGAAGCAAGAACACCGCATTCCACTGAATACTGAGCCACCAGACAACTAGTAATTTTGTCAAGACGTCATGGGATCTGTGTATACAGGGTGTCCCACATAACTTGAGCGAAGAAGTTGAAAGTGAAAGGCTCTTAAGAGGCGAATTGAGCCAAATGCATACTACTCGTACTAGCCTGTAGGTATAATCAGGCGCAATCGCGGTGATTTTAACGACATGCTCTGGGTGTGCCCCTCATTGAAGAAAAAAATGAAGAATTTTCCAAAAATTTTTTTCATTCAATGCTCACAAGTCCGGTCCTCATACACCAACTCAAGGCTATCCACAAGCCCCACGATGCGGCTGTGAGGCTAGGCCTCTTCGTCTCTACGTGGAAGCGGCCTGCGATCCTAACCCTATAAAACAGGGATGGAATACTTCAGGACCCCAATAAAGTTCTTCATCTATCCATCCAATCCCATAATAATTAATTATTAATTCCTAATTATCTGTCTTGTTAATTCTGGGCTGAAACCCAAAATATGAACACTGTGATGTAGAGTACTTTAACAAACCACCGAATAAATTGTTTCCTGTACGGTACATCTCGCGCGGTTATTTTTCCCACGTTGTAAAGAAAGCCCAAAAACGTGAAAAGAACCCGTGTGACGGACCACGAGCGCACTTCTATAGTGCTCCTATAGGCTTTTTTTACAACGCGGAAAAAATTGCCGCGCTAGACGAATCGTACAGGAAACAATTTAGTCGGTGTTTTTTCAGTGTTGATATTGTGGGTGGCCAGCCCATAACTTAACAAATAGGTATATGAAAATGAATCAATTTGCATGTGGAGAAATAAAGATTGCCTGAGTACCTACAGGCTAGTGAGAGTAGTACGCGTTTGGGTCATTTCGTCACTGAGGTGGCTTTCCTTTTCAAATTCTTGGCTTGAGTAATGAAGGACAACAATATAGTGACTGCCACATGTTTTCTGCTTTTGTTTCATTTTGCTACACTATAAAATATGCCGCAATAATTTATAGCAATATGTTGTCTCCCCATGAAACCTACAGAATGTCGCGCTGCATCTGGCCGGGCCCGGGCTTTTCTTTCTGTACGTGGACTCGGGTCCGTCGGGCTTGAATGATGTTGGCCTCAGGTTTCAGCTCTACTCTGCAATGCACTAGCATAAGCATTACAGTGTTATTTGAGAGATACATTTAAAAACAGCAGTGCACGTAAAGTACTACACTGATACTGCTAATACCTTCTACCGCAATACTAAGCTGTAGTACTGAAGTAAGGCACTTACCGTGTAAATGCCCTTAATGATGACCTTGAATTGTCCTATTCTCAAGAGTTCCAGACGTCTTGTTACCTATAGGTGAAAGCTGGACAAAGTTATGGCCATTGAATCACGCGACAATGACGCAGTAGCGCTATAATCACCCTAATTATACACCACCAAACAACCATCACATCAAGGTGCTGGTTTGTAAGCAATGTTGGTTTGTCAGCATATCGCTTGGAGAACAATCTCTGTGAATACGAAATTTAGGTGGCGCAATGGTGCTTATGATCTTCATGCCAATGGGAGTAAAAAGAAACACAAACACACAAACACAAAGACGACAATGCACACACACCCACTTAAACGCTTGCACGCGTGCACGCGAGTACAATTACACGGGAGCAGAAAACTCCATTAGTTGTCATCTACACAATCCTTGGCTTCTTTGCTCTTCACTTCGTTATCTTATGTCGAAAAAGAAATGGCTGCTACTTTCGAATCCTTCTTTCATAATCAACAGCGTCCTCTCCACAAATTGTGTATTTATTTTACTGGTGAGCGCGCGGGCGTATGACAGATGAAAAAAAAAACAACCTCTGCGCTGTACGGTGGGCGGGTGTGATTATATAACCCCGAATGACAGGCCTACTGTCGATTGCTATTTAAATAGAGAGAAACATGAATATAGGTGTGTCAATTGTACTTATCTTTGTGGAGCGGCCGTATGATTTACACCAGTTCTTTTAGCGTTAACTGTTGACTTAATTCGTATTCGCAACTTTCACGTCCTATTGGTGGCGCGACTATACATCTAACATGGCTGTCGTCCCGAAAGAGACGATAGTGGAAAGTACAGTTTCCGCGAAGACAGCAATTTTTCACACTTCGGTGGCCTTTGGACTTATTTTTGAAAAACGAGGGGAGCGCGAACATACTCTATTAAATAAATAAATGCACTGTAGCATGTAGAGAAGATAAATATGCGCAAAATTGTAAATAAGGCCCACACGTACGCTCTTCACTTTACTGGCTGTACGCAATCGCACGCAACGCTGCACAAATTGTTGCAGGTGTGAAGGTCTTCGAAGCCCTTCGCAGAGGCCTCAGATGTGTAATAATGCGATGAAAATTTTCAAGCCGGACCATTCATTTTTTTCTAGAAGAGGAACGCATCGATCAGACCAACTAAGTGCGAGAACTGGAAACCTGGAAGTTGCTGTATTCGTGCAGAAAAAGGGCGCTGCATAGATTCACTGGTGTTGATTATTTGCCTGATAAATTGAACCCTCTTGACCCTTGATAACTTTTTGGGGTGCTAGTTTGAATGGGACGCTTAATTTCCTCCCGGCGTACATAGGCTGTGAGCATCGAGGCTTGCAGTGAAATCAGTCGGCTTTTTCTTTTGGGGGCGAAGCTCTCTAAGCCATGGGTCATGCGTACGCAATAAATGTAATTGGCGTATAGTGGTAGTAGGTAGTCACCTCCTCGGCCGGACTAGAGGAGCGGCACGCGCACACCCTTTTCAATTGAGGAGGAAACCAGCGCAATTCAATCATAAATAGAAAGATAGTTGTTTCTGTTAAAATACCTTACAAAGACGAGTATTAAGAACTTAATCTCCAATAAAATTAGCCTTGAATTTGATGCTTACTAAAAAAAAACTAGTATCAGAAGGACGCACTTTGAGCACTATTTGAGCAGAAAGGGTTGCCAGGTTAAAATTCCTTGGCCTAACCTCTGTGTATTTAGCAAGGTTTAGCGAGGGTTGGGCCGCAGTGCCATGAATATAGGGAACTAGTATATATCCGTGAACTAGAGGCGGTGAAATGTGGGAAGTAGACACGAAGCGCAGACTTTAAGAAGGTGCGCGAGTGCCACCCCTCGTTTAGTCCTTGGAATGTTCGCTGGATAGCGGTATTTGTATATGCCTAATATATGATGAAAACACGCGAGATGGCGGTATTTGGAGTGTCCACTTCATGGACGGATGGATGGATGAACGGACAGGTACACAGAAGAACGGATGGACGCACGGATGAATAGATGGCCAGACGTACGGACGCATGAAAGGACAGATGCAGGGACGGATGCATGGTAGCTTAATAAACGCAGAGACGGACGGATGCACGGACGAATTCACGCACGGAGAGACTGACGGACGCACAGACAGATGGACGCATGAACGGATGCACAGATGGGCGGATGGACACATGGACGGTTGCACAGACAGACGCACGGATAGACGGAAGCAAGAACAAACGCACAGAAGGACACTTCGCCCCGCACATTATCATGCACTACGTGGATATGCTGTGATTTTTTTCTTTCTACTTTCCCCGCAACTTGAGAAACTCAAAGGGTGACAGTGTTACCAAGACCATTCCCAAAGTTGAAAAACAACCACTAACACGTGAAAACAAGCCGCCACGTCTGCTGTTTGAAGTAGGTCAAAACTTCAGGAATCTCAACAGAGCTTCCGGCAGCTACCGCTCAGTGGCGGCATGATACCTGGAACTTGCGAATACTATACTCGGCGACAAATTTCTCTGGCAACGCCGCCAGAGCTACGTTAGTGTAGCTTATGCATAGAGATGCTCAAAATTAGCTAGAGGGCACTCTGGCGCTGCGATCGTTCAATGACCATGGGAATGATAGGTAGTACACAAATTTGCCTAGTCTTCGTACTTGCGGGCAGCAAATCGTACTTGCGGCTTCGTTTATTACTGGTTACAGTTTTGTTTTGAAAGAAAGAACGAACCCTTTTGAACACAAAGACTTGATTCGAAATAGTAAGCTTAAAAGAATAAGGTTGTGAAGCGCAAATGTTGAACATTTGCTAATTTATGTTTTCCTGAAAAAACAGCTCCAAGCCACACGAACACACACGGAGCCAAAAGCAGGCCAGAAGTACGAAAATTAGACGAATGTGTGTACTACCCATCATTCCCATGCTAGCTGAAACGCGTTGTGTTGCAAATCCCGTAGACACTAGCGCCAGCGTTCCCCCTAGTAAGTATTGTGGAAAACTCTATGGAGCTTATGCTCAAGTGGTACTACACCAAGTAGTCCGTTTTCGTGCAACTTGGGGTTTCGTTCCACAAGCGCATCCAACGCGTACTTTTGCACGACCATCAAAGAATGAATCTTTCATTTATTTCGAAGGAAGTAAATAAATTTTCGTTTTTTAAAGGAAAGAACATGAAACCTATTTGAAGCGTTGAGATTTATTTAAGAAAGAAAAGAAAGGTAGGCCGAGGATGTACTGGACGATTGAAACAACGCAAAGCCAAGAAGCTATTTCCTAAATTTCAGTGCGTACTTTGTCGGCATCATTGTTTTCCTTCATTTAGAGATGCAAGAGCCTTCTGCAGACGCTCACATTACTTTTTTTAGGGGACGCGAAGGCAACCTCGAGAAGCAGAACTCAACGCACCAATAGGTCATAAGCGGGCGTCGGACACTCGTAAATTTAAGTGGGTGAAACGCAATCTTTACTCGGCCAAGAACACTGTTTTAGGGGCGAAGCTCCTTAAAGCGGCACCCGTTCATCCCTCGTCGTAGTGCGTAACTAGTTTTGCGTTTTGACCTGCAAAGTGGTGCCGGTGGGAGATTTCTCTTGTGCCTTGTTGAACAATAAAAAATTCGCAGCGTGCGCGTTAACTAAAAGCCGAATTCTCCTGTCTCTCATTCCCCCTTAGCAGCCATTCGCATGTACATTGAGCACTGTCTGACAAGAATGGGTTGCTACGTTATACTCGCTGGGTGTAGCTTCCTTGGTTTTAGAAAGGCTTAGGGAGCGTTGGGCCGCAGTGCCATGAATACAGTGAACTAATATATACCACGAACTCGAGGTGGTTAAAGGGGGGAAGGAGACACGAGGCGCAAACCGTAAGAAAGTGTGCCTGTGCCACCGCTCATTTAGTCCTTGGAATGTCCGCTGGATGGCCGAGCTTCTATATGTGGAATGTAAAATGAAAAGATGCGAGATGGTGGTACTTGGAGTGTTGACTAGATGAACGAACGGACACACAGACAGATGCGTGGACGGATGCACAGAAGGCTGCACGGATGGACGTACGCATGAACAAACGCAGGGGCAGATGCATGGAAGAACGCAGAGACAGATGTATGGATGGACGTGCGGATGCATGAACAGACGCACGCACGGCTAGGCGTATGGACGCACGGACGGCCACACAGATGGACGCGCGGACGAACGGAAGTAAGAACAAAAGGACGGACGGATGCTTCATCCCACTCTCCATTATTCACCCAGAGGATATGCTGCCATTTTTGCACAGTCAACAGGGTAATTATTATGCATGAATGCATCTGCTACCCAGGCAAAGCGCAAGAAGCGGCTCCCTCCGTAGACGCCGATTGGAGCGGTGGTACGGTACGCTATCTTCATTGTTGTCTTATCAACAATATTAGGACGCCAAAACACCGACCACGTATGCAACGCAAGTTAGGAAAAAGATAATTGAGTTTACGTACAGTTTCCAATCACACTTTTTCACCCAAGCAGCTGGTGTTGCTGAAGACTGATAGGTCGCCGGTATTACTTCCAATTAGTCCCACTTTAACTGATGACATAACAACGCACACTAATTCTTGGTGATTGCGTTCGCAGGAAAGAAAGCAATATACCAAGCACCACTGTCTTCGCTTCTCCCCGCTCGATGAATACAGATTACCTAATGAACATGCACTTATGCTCGCTCACTAGCTCCGATGTGAACTTGGTGCAACCGAGTGACGCAATCGATGTTTACCGGGGCAAAGAAAAGGGGAAATGGCTTTAGAAAACCATAAACTGGAAACAAAAAAGAACAAAAACATGTACGGTTGGTGCTTTCTAATAACATCGCAAACAGTTTTGAACATATGTTATACATCTTTTCTTCTTATATTTTCCATCAAGCTACGCAGTATACAAAAATTAGCGTTCGTGGACTACATGCAGAAGCGTTGTGAAAAATGGCGTGCGTGGGCTTCGTAGCCTTCGCTGTGCTGCCAAATAAAGCTGTCACCGAATATTGTTTCTATTGCATTCATTGTTTTAACCTTGCAGTAAAACTGTTGTTTCCACAAAAGTGT